AAATGTTACTTTTAATAATCATATAATATTATTAGGAGTGGACATATAACCATCCATTAATATTTCAGGAATATTATTTAATATTATATAATTTTAGTAAAATATTATTAAAATGTTATATTTAATATTCTGAGAATATGCCTAAAATATTATTTAATATTAAATAATATTATGCGCTTACAGGGTTATAACTTGACAAGTACGAGTTGATGTCAAAATCTCACATTTATCAATTTCTTTCCATTTATCCATTTTTATTTGTAGCATGCTTAAATCTTTAAAGAACTAATTTAAGTCTATAAATGTAGTTAAATAATTTATTTTCATCTTTTATTTATTATATTCTCGTTTTTATGATATATAGTTTAATTTGTAACAGATCTGTAAATTTATTCGATATGCATATTAAGTAAATTATTATGATAATTAATTTTATTATAATTTCTGATGCGTGAAAATATAATAATTGTTATTAAAATATTAATAAATCATGTCACGATGGAAGTAAATATTAATAATAAAGGAAAATTAATGGTACTATTAATTAAAGAAATAAATTGTATTTTCTCATTATTATTCTCGTTCAAAATTTGACAAAAACAATAGAGAGATATCTAATGACGATAGATATAATTACATGGTCATAAGTAGATATATAATTATGATTTTCATTTGAAATTATATGTATATTCTAATTACGAAACAATATTCGATTTATTATCGTGCGATGATGGAGTATCATGTGCAACATGAAGATGTGTATGAAGGTGATTCTGAGTCTTATTTTTTATAGTTTTGTTCAATCTTGATAATAAATATTGATATTTCCATGCAAATAATAAACAGTGTAAAGGGAAGTGAAAAAATATAATGCATATAAATTGTTTCTCAAAAATCGTGATACATTAGCATAGACGTTATCGAAAATTATACAATCTCTTATCTTTCAATATCAAATGTTCCGTTTAGGAACGGCTCCATACCTGAGCTTAGCAATTGCTCTGCATGTCATGCTGTCGATATGTAATCGATATATACATATATAATGACTTCAACACGCTAGCAATTATGTTAACCACTAGAAAAACGCGCACGTGTCGCACTGCTTACATACGGAATGAGAATTCTATATAACTGTACATAGAATGATCTAATTTCTAATGGAAACTTAAAAATAAGAATTTTGCTAATTTTTTAAGACTTTTTAAAAAAATTTCTGTATTCGATATAGAAGTGTATATTTTTTTGGTGATCAAAGATTTACGATATATTGAAAAACGTTATCGTTGGAATTAACCAGATGTAAACATACATATACATACTGAGTAACATTGCATCGTATAATGCAAATAATGTGCTTTCGTCAGCAAATTGTCTCTGATCGAATTCTGGTGACGTCGTATGACGCATTCACCAGCATTCACTTCCGTGACAGATGGTCACTTTGTCTGAAAATAAATTATGACGCGCTCATGATTCATGCACAGGTCGCTGTCTTCTCTGATGTGTCTTACTTTGATCCAATTTGACGCGAGTAATGATCGCCGATTCGATTGCGTAATGGATTTTACGTTTGTCTTCTGACGCAAGTAAATTACTTGTTCGCTAAGAAGAAAAGGAAATTACTGAAAATGGATAAAAATCGATTCATAAATTATCAGTCTTGTAGAAATTTATATATACTTAAAAAATTGAATCTTATTTATATAATGCTTTAATCTAATTTTCCGAAAAAAGACTCGTCCAATTTTTTAACTATAATGATCGTATAGAGATGTAATTACTCAAGTAGCAAAGTGTTATTAATATAATATAATCTATCATTCATATTTAAAATTTATTTTAAAAAGTGTATAATTTTTTTAAATACGTGTTTTATCGTTTGATTGATCTGTTGCGAAAAAGTTTTTATATGAAAAATCAAATTATGATTATTGAAGTTCGAATCGATGCACATGTTCCAACGTCGATTCAAATATATACAATTTACGACATTCTCTCGAGTCTAAAGAAATTTCTATGGTACAATCATCGATAACATGTATTCTCGAGCAAATATCACATAATCAAGAGCAAGCGTGGAACAGATTTAATTTCGTGAGTAATCTTGCTCAACGCATAATCTCTTTATATAATTTCTGAAAAAGAACTTCAAAAGAATTATGTGTATATTATATATATATATATAAATAATTAAAATGGGATACCTTGTGTATGTGTAATTAATTAATTTTCTCCAAAATCACCGATGATACAAAAAAATGTTTCAGAAAGTGGAACGGTTTCGAGGAAGATTTTGGGTACTCATGTAGTTAGGGCACTTTGGAATACTCATGGCTTAGGCATTTCGGCAAATCCAAAGAATTCTTGTCCGATAACGCCTTAGGATTCACTTTGAACGAATTTAAGATACTCTGTGATAGGTTACACATTAAACACACACTTACCTCGGTTTATCGTTCTCAGTCGGACAGTAAAAACGAAAGATTTAGATGCGTAAGTATGCCCTACGGATTTCTTAACATGCTAAGAGTATTCAAATTTTCCAACAAAGCAGAAACATCTTATCGAGTCTTATAAAAGGGAAATTCTTGGACTGCAGCGACAGTTCCTCGAGTTCGTTACAAGTAGTTACATAAAATCCTAGTACAGTTATAAGTCCAAAATTAATATAAGTTCGTAGTTATACAAGTTATTGTGCACAAATTACAAATAAATTTCTTTTTTTGGAATAATATCTTTTGAGAATCTTACATTTTAAAGTTTTGTCGGAATAACGTTCTCAAAATTACGGAATAATCTATCATGAATCTGAAAAATGTGAAAATATTTTTGCATTTTCTAATTTCATTAACAATGTGTCAATATATTCAAAGTCAATCCCATGCATACACACATACACCTGACTACAATTTCGTAAAAGACCTGAGTAATGGTAAGTATTTAGTAGTATATATATTGTATTCAGATAACACAATATTCAAGTAATTTTTCCTAAACGATAAATCTAGGAGATCAAATAATCAAAATAGCTGGCGGACAATACGCGAGACTCGGAGATTTTCCGTACATGGTAGTGGTGCATCAACTCCTAGGTAATGGAATAGTCGGACAATGCGGAGGCACGATCTTATCAAAAAGATGGGTTCTCACTGCCGCTCATTGTGCGGAAAAATACCCACGAAGATTTTTGGTAGTTTTCGGTATCGTTAACAAGTATGGGATAAGCTACGATACTTATCGAGGTTCCGGTTGGTCCATGATTGCTACTCAAGCATTTATACATCCATATTACAGTCAGGGCTTGAACGACATTGCTCTAATTTATATGCCGTATGATATTCCGTTCTCCAGTAAGTATATCTATTTAAATTAATATTTCTCTTCCTTTTTTCTTTTGCAACTATTTACACGTCCAGTTATTTAATTATTCTATACAAAAAATATGTGAAAACTGAAAACAATTTATTTATAACAAATTGTCTTATAAATGCGGAAACCTGATAATCACACAAAAATCGTATCGTATATTTATATATACTTAGTTCCTTTTATAATCTTCACATGCTGAAAAGTACGATAAACCATTAAGGCCCAGTTCCACAACTCAAACTAAAACTTTACGATTATATTTTCTGAGAGTAATACTATTGATTAAAACAAAAAATCGAAAATTTTGATCTTTTAAACCAGATTCGCCCCTTAAAAATATTACGAACGTTAATACAATATAGCAGAATTGATAATAAAAAATAATTAAATATACATTTCTTTATTTTAGAAAATATTCAACCGATAAACCTTGCTTATCAAGACTCAGAAAATTTTAACAGTAAATCTGCTTTTGTGATCGGTTGGGGAAAAGATGACATGAATAGCAGAGGTTCGACAAGACTTCAGTACGCCTCACTGCCGATTATTAGAAATACTGTATGTAGGCAATTCTGGTACGAAGTCACTGAGAAACAGGTTTGCACGGCATCAGGATTAGGACGAGACGCTTGTCAGGTAAAGTAATCAAAAATAATAAAATAAATCACTATAAGTATAAGTGGAATACTTTAATAAGCAATATGAATCAACTTAAATTGTTTTTAGCTAGTTTTAATAAATGAACATTGATGGTATGTTTTTTCATATACTTAATCTTTGATATTTTATTTTTAGGGCGATAGCGGTGGCCCACTTGTTGTAGTGAAAAATGGCATGGACATTCAAATCGGTATTGTGAGTTACGGAGACGCATATTGTCCTAGCAATGCACCCGGAGTTTTCACTAGAGTTTCGTCGTACATAAGTTGGATTCACGAAATTATGATGAGATCGTATGATACAGACTGATTTTTTTAAAAAAACCTTATGATCTTTTAAATGTTGATGGTTTCTTTAAATGCTGATGGATCTTAAATGTTGATTTTTTAACATGTTGATTTAAATGATTTAAATACATATGACAAATAATATTAAAAAGATTTACGTATATAAAATGTCTGTAAAAATACCTAACACTAAATCCAAAATAT